ATGTTTTGTGGGGATGTAGGGATCAAATCCACGAAGTTTGTTTTTTGTTTTTTTTGTTTTGTTTTTTTGTTTTGTTTTGTTTTGTTTTTTTTTACTGAACTGAAATGTTAAACAAATTGAGCTTGGTTTTCTGCTTTAAAAAAAAATCCCCAGGAAGTTTTTAAATGTTATTTTCTTTTTCTTTTTTCCTTTTTTGTTGGTTTTTCGAGACAGGGTTTCTCTGTGTAGCCCTGGCTATCCTGGAACTCACTCTGTAGACCAGGCTGGCCTCGAACTCAGAGATCCGCCTGCCTCTGCCTCCCAAGTGCTGGGATTAAAGGCGTGCACCACCACTGCCCGCCTTAAATGTTATTTTCTGCAAGCTACTAACTTAAAGATTATCAACAAAAGCAAATTATTATAAGTAACACAGTGCAATGTGACTCATTGTTAGCTGGAAATGGGTTGAAGGAAAATCATGAAATATTTAGATTTTAAAATATATTGAGAGCTCCATGGAGGAGTACATACCTATATAATCCTAGTGCCCAGGAGGGTCTTGAGTTTGAAGTCAGCCTCAACTACATAGGGATACCCTGTACCAAAAATGTAAAAGTGAGTAAAATAAGAAATTGTATAAATGTAATATATAATGTAAAAACATATATCAGGCAAAGCATGGAGACATTATAATCCCAGTATTCAGAAGGCAGGCGAGCATAGGGGGAATACTCAGGGCTAGTCTGAGCTCCAGAGTTACATGTCAGCCAGGGAAACAAAGCAGTGCCCTAACTACATTTATATATTTAAAAAAATATTACACTGCTTATTTAATGGGAAGGAGGCTGAGCTCAAATGCTGAGGCATATGTGTAGAGGTCAGGGGACAACTTGTGGAAATGGCTTCTCTCCTTCCAGCATGCGAGTCGCAAGGATGGAACTCAAGCCCTCAGACTTGGCAGAAAGCACCTGTAGTACAGCCATCTTGTTGACAGTCATCCTCCGTTACCTAGAGAATTCACACCTGGGCTACAGGAGAGCCTGTCCCCAGCCCCAAACAACAAAAGCCACGCAGCAATAACAAAGTTTCAAAAGAAAAAAAAGCCACCTACAGTTTCATATACTTAACAAGTTGGCTAATGTGTTGCCTGCATATAAAAATAGTTTCATATTTTGTAAATATTTTCGTGTAACAGAAATAAACTATAAAATGAAGAGAAATACATAAAATCTGCTTTCATAAAATACTACCCCAGGCTATATTTTAGAAGACAGCTGAATATTGGTAGATTTGTCTTAATTATTTCTATCAATAATGAAGTGCAAAAGCTTTGTCACATACATTTGAGCCTGTGGCTTCTGGCTTCAGAAAATTATGCTCTTTATCGTTGTTTGTAATAATAAAAAACTGAAAATGATCTGAAAGACCACTAGTTGGGGATTGACTAGATTATGACCGCTTATGAGATAAGGATGTCATGCAGGCCTTACGAGGATCCCTTAGAAGGAAGTCTGTATACTGAGTGCAAAAAGCTTCAGATAGAGGGGGCTGACAGGTGGCTCAGTGGTCAAGAGCACTTCCTGCTCTTAGAGAGCACCCGGGTTGGATGCCCAGCACCCACATGGTAGCTCAGGACTGACTGTAGCTCCAGTTCCAGGGGATCTGACACCTTCCCTGGCCTCCGTGGGCACCAGGGACACATGTGGTGCACAGACATATCCACAGGCAAAATGCTCATACATAAAATGAAAATAATTAAATCTTTTTAAAAGTTTTAAGTACAGTAGTAAATGGGCGATGCAGTTATATAACATGCTATTTGTGTAAAACTTCTGTACATCTTTTTTATCTTTTAGTGTGTGTGTGTGTGTGTGTGTGTGTGTATCTCTTTGTGGATGCAGGTGTAATATATGACACACCAGTGTAGAGGTCAATCTCTGGGTCACTCTGCCTTGTTTGTGGCAGTATGTCCTGTTCAAATCTCTGTTCATCAGGTCTCTCTTGATATTGGAATTAAAGACAAGTTTGCTGCGTCCAGCTCCATGTAGGTTCTGGGGATTTGAAGTCCAAGCCTTTATACTTGATACAACAAGCACTTTGTCCAGGAAGCCATCTTTCCAGCCCTTAGTTTACAGGATTATGTGGGCATTTATGAGATCTGAAAGTTGTTAATAGTGCTCTCTGTAGGAAGAGATGAGGGAGGACATTTGTTTTCTAGGTTTTTATATTGACTATTTTTTAATTCAAGACAAGGTTTGACTCTGTAGACCCATGTGACTCCTGATTTCCTGCCCCGTCTATCTCCCAAGTACAATTTAAGCTGTGAGCTGCCACACCCAGCTTGGAATTTCAAGACTAACCACAAATTCACTTTGAGTCTTGCTTTGTAACCCAAACTGCCTGCAATTCACTATGTAGCCCCCAGCCTGGCCTTGAATTTTAAGCAATCTTCCAGCCTCTATCTCCCAATCGCTTGGTTTACAGGTGTGTGCCATCACACCCAGCTCTTTGAAATCATCTTTAATTTGCGGTACATAGTGTAGTTGCCATTTTCCTTAAAATTAATCTTGCAACAAATATAAATAATAGGTCTTTCAGTTATTTATGCTATTGTTTCATTCCACGCAGTGATTACTAGGAAATCTGACTTTGTTTTACCTATTTGGCTTTGGTGAAGTTCAATTAAATTTCACTATAGCTAAGGTATTAATAATTTAGAAAAGTTCCACTTAATAATAGAATGAACAGCATTATTTCATTAATAAAACACAAATTGTGTAGCTCTTGGCTATTCCTTTTAATGAAAGGAAGATTAGTGGGGAAAGGTACATAGTAGAAAAATGCTGTTACTGGGTGATTAGCAAAGGTTCTCTAAGGAACAGAACTGATAGAATGTGTGTGTGTGTGTGTGTGTGTGTGTGTGTGTGTGTGTGTGATCTATTATATACTATAGTGTATAATATATATATGGATTACTTAGGGTGGCTTGCTGTGGTCCTAGTAGTACAGCAACAATAGTTTTCTGACAGAGAAGCGAAGGATCCAGTAGTTGTTCAGTACATGAAACTGGATGTCTCAGCTGTTGCAATCTGATGCTGGAGTCCTAGGGACATCCTAGAACTGTCAGTTTATGGTCCACTTTGGAATCCTGAACAAGATTATAATACCAGCAAAGGAATGGTCGGGATACATGACCTTGCCAATAAGAGTGAGGACAAGCAGACAAATGACTAGCTCTGTCTTCCGTGTCTTTTTATGTGGGCTGCCACCAGAAGGTCTGGCCCAGATTTAGGGTGGATTTTCTGACCTTGATGATCAGAAATTTGAATGGGTCAAATAATCCACGCAAGAAAATTAATTCACAGTGTGCCTAACTGCTTGGGTCTTAGTTATTTCCGGGTGTGATCAAGTTGACAACCAAGATTAGCCATCACACTGGGTTTCTTTAAAAGATGGCTATATACTGTAGATACACACCCCTGCTTGACAACAGATTTACTTTGTGTGTACGTTTAGCATTGGTAAGTTTTCAAGAGTGCTGGGCTCAAATTCAAGTCTTCTTGCTTATGCAGCAAGTACTTTCCCCGTGAATCATATCTCTATTTTTGAGACAGTGCCTAAGTTGTCCAAGCTGGCCTCCTAGTTTCAACATTTGAAATAGATGGGATCACAGAGTTGGGCCACCATTTCCTCTGGAATAGATAGGATTTCATGTGTGAGCCACCATGCTTTGTCATATTTCATTTTTGATCATAAGCATATTTAATATGAGATGGTCTGCTATCTAGTACAGGCTGGTCTTGAACTTGTAATCCTCTGACCTCAGCCTTCTGAGTGCTGGGATGATAGAACCACTACATCAGGTTCTCAATTAATTATTGGAGTTTGTTGTTTGAGACAGGACTGTATACTAGGTAGGCTTGACTGTTGTGAAACTTGCCATGTAGATCATTCTGGCCTCAAACTCAGAGATCCACCTGTCTCTACTTCCCAAGTGCTAGAATTAAAGGTGTGTGCCATCAGGGAAGCTGAATCTAGGTCCTATGTGGTAGAATGTATCTTATAAATTTCATATGACTGAGACTTGTGTGATGTGAATTGCCACTCCCTTTAGGCTCGTCTTCCAGGTCCCAGAAGCCACAATTCTGATTCCATGAATCTCACTGTTTTAAATCTCCAATCTATCTCAATTATCCCATTATAAATTACACATGTTATCTGTGGAGAAAGCATTGAATGCACAGTCTACTTCAGGATGTTGATGTTTTTCTCTTGTGATTGCTGTGCTGACTGGGTGCTACAGCTTACTGCTGAAGCCTAGTATCCCAGCTATCATACCATATGTCAGTAAAGCCTGAAAACCATCAAAATTCACAATTTGGGGGGTGCTTTCTATAATGACTATTGCATTTCATATCAGCGTGCAGTTGAGCCATCTTAAACCAAGACTTGCTGGGATATCCAAGTAATCCACTGGTGTAGAGGAATAAGGTGTTGAATGTCCATTTCTAGCACATTCTTTTAGAACTATCTGTCTGCTTTCTATTTTGTGTATGTTCAGTAATCATGCATACAATCAAACCATGCTGGGTATGGTGGCACATGCCTGTAATTCCAGCACTGGGGAGGCAGAGGCAGGTGGATTTCTGTGAGTTTAGGGCCAGCCTGGTCTAAATAGCAAGTTCCAGGACCAGCCAGAGCTATATGTAGAGACCAAACAAACAAATGAAATTCTATAGGTATTTATGATATATCCATGTAAACCTGTTTTCTACTGTAAACTACAGTAGAGTGGGGAGTTTGTAATACTGGTCTTTCACTACCTTCCATAGCCATTTACACAAGCTGGTGGAAAATGACTAAGGGTTACAGAATGGATTTCCATGTGCGTGCAAGATGTAAGTCTTCATAGAATTAGAATGGTGGTGAAGACGGAGCCAAAACACACATTCAAAACACTGATGGATGGTAGCCACTATTTGTGATGAAACCTTTGTCTTACTCATTGGTTTTAGAAGCAAGCTCAGAGGTTTTTATCCTTTTTTTATTTTTTAAACAGAAAACAGAGCCGTCTCTTCGGGACCTAGTTTGTTAACTGTCTTCCTGGGAGTGGTATGTATTGCGGCCCTGATGCTGCCTACTCTAGGGGATATGGAATCGCTGGTGCCTCTCTACCTCCACTTAAGTGTGAATCAAAAATTAGTGGCTGCTTATATCTTAGGTAAGGTTTTAAAGACACTTTGGTACTTATGTGTAGGGGCTTACTGACTTCTCATGTTACAGAACATATGTATATGTATTTTATATGTATAAAATACAGTCAGACATAGAAGTGTAGGTGGGAGGGAGAGAAAGGAGGATTAGAAGTTCAAGGTCTTCTGGCTGGAAGAATGAGTCTGAGGTCAGCTTCTACTATAGGAGATGTCTTGTAACAAAGTTTTTACTGATGGTCTCCTGTCACCTCTGTGATGCCAATTCTTTCTTATATTTGTGCTCAGTGTTCCCTGGAGTGCTTGTTTGTTCTTTTTTTCCTTTTCTGAGCCAGGATCTCATGTAGCCCAGGGTTTCCTTGAACTCTATGTAGCGGAGAATTACCCTTGACCTCCTGATCTTCCTGTACTTACTTCCCTAGTAATGGGATTACAACCGTGCGCTACCACTCTAGCTTTCTCTTTTTTTTTTAAAACTTTTATTTGTTTGTACTATGTGTTTATTTATTTGTTTTCTCTTAATTCGGAGACAGTGTCTCACTCCAGTCCATGCTGCCCTGGAACTTACTATGTATTCCAGGCTAGCCTGAAACTCATCAGGAGTCCTTCTGTTTCTGCCACCCAGGTGCTGGAAGCACAGGCATCATCATGGCTGGCTTTCTGTTTGTTAATGTCAAAATTGCCTTTCTGTTCTTCCTTGTGCCCCTACTCTCCCTGTCTCTTCCCCTTTGACCTTACCCCTCAGATCACCCATCACATTGTCATGAGGTTGATTTCCCTTCTGTTTCAGGTTCATGATGTCTCCCTACTCTAAAGATCTCCATTCAGTCCCCAAAGTCCATAGGATAGAGTGGAACCCTATAGCTTGGTGTTTACAACAGGGCTGTCTTACAAAGCTCACTGAGCCAATCTCAAGCTATTCTGCCTTATAAATCCCTGAACAGAGCCTGCCGTTCAAGTAGTTACTCATTGATTCTAGAAAATGTCATCTGGAATCCTGGGCCTCCTTTTAGAGTCTTGCTCATCATACCGGGTCCTTTCTCGAAATGCCCACTTTCCTTCTGAATCTTTCTTGCCCATCTCTTGAAGTTTGCCTTGGCTTTTATGCTTGGAGACAGTGTTTCTGACCCTGTCAGTCCCAAGTATTCATCTTCCTTCACACTGCTTTTTTATTCCTCCCCAACATTTAAGACTGAGCATAGAAGTCAGTGTGGTGTGGCACACGCCTTTAATCCTAGCATTTGGGAGGCAAAAGCAGGTAAATCACTGTGAGCTCAAGGCCAGGCTAGTCTACCGAGTGAATTTCAGAATGGCCAGGGCTATAGAGAGAAAGAGATCTTGCCTCAAAACAAACAAACAAACAAACAAACAAAACAAGCCAGAAGATGGAGCATGTTCTTATATTATTAGATGGTTATGGTTTTGTATGAGGAGTTTCTCAAGGAAAGTAGAAACACCCTATTACTGTGTCTTTCTGGCCTTAGGGTCCTGATACAAATAGGCTGTCTTTGGTTTTACAGATATTTTTAAATGGCATGTCTGTTGTTATTACAGCTGATGTGACTGGATAAAGTAGGAGGTATGTTTGATGGTGGAATTAGCTATGACCAGACATAAGTGATTTCATTAAATCTATCCAGTTGTATCCAGCCTATTGTTGTAAATTGGATTTCTTCTGTATAATATCAACTAAATTCAAATTGACTTTGAGCTCTTGGTAGAGTGCCTTCCTGTGGCACTATATTTTATTTGCTTGTTGAGCTCCAAACAATTGTTTATTGAGTGGAAGATTTCATAAAATGCATTTCTCTAACTGTCCTCCATCTCTCCCCTTTCAGGTCTTATCACAATGGCTATACTTAGAACATGAGCAAGGATTAAAACTGACTTCTGAAGCAAATTTATCTTAAAATATGAATGTGGACTGCCTTTTATCTCTTCACTCCATTAACACACTACAAATTATTGAGTGATTTCAAATAACTGCAAATGTATAATATGTATTTTCGATTAGTCTATAATTTTATTTGAAGGACTGTAGCACTTTATGTTACAGACAACAAAGATTCTTCTGAGTGATACCTAGGAAATTATTTGAAGACATTCTTCTAAAATCTATACCTGTTGTGCAAATAACTTCAATTCAATGTTATTCTTCATCTTTTTTATTTCAAACTTAGTTTGATAAGGGTCATGGGTCCTTCAAAGTTTAAGACCTAAATGAGCAACTGACCAGCTTGAAAATAAAATGACGTTTATTGCCTAGACACAGCAGCAACATTACTGTGTAAGTCACAGATCTCCTTTCATTACAAGGAGTTGCTGTGGTGGTTCTTTTTTCTTTTTTTTTTCTTTTTTTTTTTGGTTTGGTTTTTCATGCTGTGGTGTTTCTAAGGCAAATATATTACAGTCAGTGTGTGAGGGGGTTGAGAACACAAGGTACTTACTGAGGGATCATGCTTACCCTGGACTCTTCAAAGAAGACAAGATATATTTAAATTATGTTGTGAAATACAGACCAGGTTGTGGTTCAGACAACAGGCACCTCACAGAAGTAGACTGGTTTCTGTTTGGCCTGAGAATTCTAAAGAAGGGTAGGCATTTTTAAAATTAATTGGTTCGTCCTAGCTTTTCTTCTGGTTAATCCTTAACATATTAAGGGGAAAATCACTTTTTGGTTTTCTCCCAAGTCCCTTGCTTGCCTGAGTGTAAGTGACTTGCCCTGGTAAGGAATGTCAGATGACAACTAGTTTCTGAGGACATGATTTTTTTACATTTAAACTCTTAAGCCAAGTAGAGAAAGCCCTAGATACCAATGTCTATTTTGTATGGTAACTGGGACTTTTTTAAGTTTTTATTTATTCAAATAAATTTACCAAAAAAAAAGCCCCCTAAGCACGAGGACTTCCATTTCTTGATACTGTTCTCTGGGGTCTCACATCTGTTTGTTTAACTGTTGTCACAGCAACTGATCTTTTTCCTCTTAGGATTTTTATCTGAAAGCACAATGCATCGAGTCTCTTGAAAATCCAATTCTCTTTAGCTCTTTTTATGGAATAAACTTTATGCACTGCTAATGTAGCAATCTCAAGGAATATACATAAACACAAATGTATGCCTGAAGTTGATTTTTTTTTTGGCAGAAAATAATACTCTGCTTCTAGAAGCTTTTTGTCTTGTATTTCATAAATCACTGTTTAACCATTTGTGGGACATAAATCATTCAGTGGATCATGTCTGTACATTGTGTAATGACTGAAAAGCACATAAGAGTAATGGACTTGGAACTCATAAAGGAAACATGTTTGAAGCTCTCTTCCTTCTCTGTACATTTCTTAAGAGCGTGCGTGTACACATGTGTGTCTGTCTGATAACACATCAGAAAAAATAGACAGTACTTTTAAAAAGAAAAGGAAATGGAGTCTTGGGTTTTACTGACTTAAGCATTTTATTTACTTCACTGCTGGGGAATAAAGGATTATCTGTCCTCTGTCTTCAGGTTGGTTCATATTTCTTTGAGTTAAATATGGAAAATAATAACTGAAATAGCTGTCGATGCAACTCAGTGGTAACATATAAGACCTTGAGCTCAATTACCAGTAGACAAAAAGAAAAAGGTAGATTGAGATAAACGAGATAGAAATATCTTGAGTTTCTTTCTTTCTTTTTTTTTTCTTTTTTTTCTTTTTTTTTTCTTTTTTTTTGGTTTTTCGAGACAGGGTTTCTCTTTATAGCCCAGGCTGTCCCTGGAACTCACTCTGTAGACCAGGCTGGCCTCAAACTCAGAAATCCGCCTGCCTCTGCCTCCCAAGTGCTGGGATTAAAGGCGTGTGCCACCACTGCCCGGCATATCTTGAGTTTCTACACAGTTAACTGTCTTTTTTTTTTTTAAAGCATTTGATGTGTTTCAGTTTTAAATGTATAAATTAAAGTATGTATATGTACACATGTGTGCTTGGTACCCACACAGACCAGAGAGTGCCAGATGCCCTGGAACTGGAGTCACAGATGGTTGTGAACTACTATGTGGCAATTGAACCTATGTCTTCTGTAAAAGCAGACATCTTTATGTGTGGGG